GCCACCCACCCGCCGCAGCCTCTGCCCGCCGCCACCGCCGCCCACCCGCGCCGGCCGCCCCTCGCCGCGACGCCTGGTCAAGCCGTTTCTCTTCGCGGTGGGGGTAAGCGGCTGCCGGGGGCTGGAGGGGAGGGGAAGGGAGGGAGCAGGGTGGCGGGACCCCCGTCTGTCAGTCGCCATGAAGCATTGCTGAGGGCTGGGCCGTGGGGAACCTGGCTTCCTCAGGCGAAGCCACGCAGGGACAGCCCTCAGGACAGAATCGCACAACGATACGGCGCCTGCTTTTTTTGACTTTTATCCCGTGTCCCCCAGTTCACAGGCTCTGCCTTCGGGTCGGCCGCCATCTGGCAGTATGAGTCCCTCAAGTCGCGGGTCCAGAGCTATTTCGAGGAAGCCCGGGCGGACTGGTTGGATAGAATGCGGCCCCAGAAGAGGGGGGACATCAGAAAGCAGGTACACGGAGCCAGGCCCAGCCTGTTCACACACGGGTGGGTCCCCACAGAGGCGTGAGACGTGACTGTGGCTCTCGTCCGGTGCGCCATTTAGAATCATAGAATTGCCCAGGCCAGAAGGGACCTCCAAAGGTCATCTAGTCTGACCTCCCCACAAGTCTGACCTCCCCACAACAGACACTTGTCCTACTTAGCCTGAGTTTTAACTTGACAAAATAATAGGTTCTCAGCAAATCACAGTCCGTGCATTTCTTTACAAGAAAAAAAAAAAGATAGAATTCATTCTAGAAAACTGTAACTCACAATATCGCTGAAAAAGCTATACTGGAGAAAAATGCCATCTTCACCCTGAAATGCAGGGAAGAGAGGCCAGTAGTAGTAGTTTGTATATCTAAACTAGGTACCTTTTGCTTTTGGACTGTAAAAAACCCCCTCCATTCTGGCTACATCTAAGTGATCCTAAAAGCAAACATGGACTCCCAAAGAGTACAGAACTAGTTTAAATTCTGAACCTCATTCCTCAGGCGAAGCCACGCAGGGACAGCCCTCAGGACAGAATCGCACAACGATACGGCGCCTGCTTTTTTTGACTTTTATCCCGTGTCCCCCAGTTCACAGGCTCTGCCTTCGGGTCGGCCGCCATCTGGCAGTATGAGTCCCTCAAGTCGCGGGTCCAGAGCTATTTCGAGGAAGCCCGGGCGGACTGGTTGGATAGAATGCGGCCCCAGAAGAGGGGGGACCTCAGAAAGCAGGTACACGGAGCCAGGCCGAGCCTGTTCACACACGGGTGGGTCCCCACTGAGGCATGAGACATGACTGTGGCTCTCGTCCAGTGCGCCATTTAGAATTATAGAATCATAGAATTGTCTAGGCCAGAAGGGACCTCCAAAGGTCATCTAGTCTGACCTCCCCACAAGTCTGACCTCCCCACAACAGACACTTGTCCTACTTAGCCTGAGTTTTAACTTGACAAAATAATAGGTTCTCAGCAAATCACAGTCCGTGCATTTCTTTACAAGAAAAAAAAAAAAGATATAATTCATTTTAGAAAACTGTAACTCACAATATCACTGAAAAAGCTATACTGGAGAAAAATGCCATCTTCACCCTGAAATGCAGGGAAGAGAGGCCAGTAGTAGTAGTTTGTATATCTAAACTAGGTACCTTTTGCTTTTGGACTGTAAAAAACCCCCTCCATTCTGGCTACATCTAAGTGATCCTAAAAGCAAACATGGACTCCCAAAGAGTACAGAACTAGTTTAAATTCTGAACCTCATGCATAACATCTGCTATTGCTCTGGCTTCTGAAGCGCATTTGAATTTTCAACCTGTACTCCACAGATACGAGGGTTTAGGGGGCTTTTTTCTTTATGAGAGGTGACACAAATGTTTTGGAATTTGGCAGGAAGAACACTGTAAGTGCTAGCTATACATTTAATCGGCACCCCAACATATCAGTCATTTAGTTTTTAATTTAGGTGTATTTAAAACTAAACTGAATATGCATGTATGTGTGTTTTATGTTTGTTTCAAGGTTACTACTGTGGCTTGTGATGGACCAGGCTTGATTACTCTTTCAGGTCTGCTTGTCCAAGGGCAGTAGGGCTGTGTGTGGAGCTGGAGAAGCACAGGGCCCTGGGGAGGACACAGTGGAGCTGGTTTTGTCACATGAATTGTGCACATTGTGGTACTTCTTTTTAAACGGGCACGTGTTTAAATGGGTAGCTGGTGGGCAGCTAACCTCCACACAGCTGCTTGCCTACTTGCCCCACAAATCCTGAGTGGGGGAAGAGGAAAAGAAGAATAAAAGCAAGAAAATTTGGGAGTAATAATAATACAACAGCCAAAAAATTTGTTCAATAAATGAAGGCTAAGTGAGAGAGGAGAAGAACACCAAACAAGTGATGCAAAGGCCTCCTGTAGGCAGACCAATGCCCAGCCAGTTCATGAGCAAAACATGGCTAAACCTCCTAAAATGCCCTCTCTTCCCTTTTATTATGGTAGGGAATATCTCTTTGTGTGTCCCCTTCCAGCCTATTTTGTGACTCCAATCTGTTTATTCCCAGGCAGAGTGAGAAATGGAAAAGGTCTTGATGCTGTGCAAAAACTATGCAGCAAAGGCTAGAATATGAGTCTGTTATCAGTACTGTTTCTGTTAAAAAAAAAAAATAGCTAAAACACAGCACAACGTATTAGCTGCTATAAAGAAAATCATCCTAGCCAGGCCCATGCTTTCTTGCTTGGTGTATATGAACTGGCCGCAAGATGGCGGCCGGCTGCCCCGGAAGTGCTCGGCGGGTGGGGAGGCGCCCAAGATGGCGTGGCGGTGCTGGGCCCGCGCCTGGGGCCCGCGGCCGCACAGGTAACCGCCGGGCTGGGGGGCGG